CACACTAGGGATATTCTGTTAGCTTACCTTAGGCTCTCTCCTCTCCTGTTTTCTAGTTTTCCAGACTCATGAGCCCTTATTCTCCACAAAGGCTTATACAAGAACTTGAGAAAAAATTACTCTGCTAGAATTTGGTATTTATATATTTATTTATAAGTAATTTGAAAATTATAGTGTTCTCTTGTTATGTTGAAGAGGTGGGTGATGTATGGTTTGTTTTTGTTTTAGCTTTGTATAGTTTCTATAGGATGTATGAAGAGATTTTTGGTTTTGGCAACTTTCCTTTTTTATTGGTTCTTTTTAGTTACATATGACAGTGGAATCTATTTTGACATAATTATAAAAGCATGAAAATAGTCAGGAGAGGTGGCACATGCCTATAATCCCAGAAGCTTAGGAGACGGAGACAGGAGGATCACAAATTCAAAGCCAACCTCAGCAAAAAAACTTAGCAAGCACCTAAGCAACACAGCAAGACCACTAAATAAAATATTTAAAAGGGCTGGGGATGTGGCTCAATGGTTGAGTAGCCCTGGGTTCAATCCCTGGTACCAAAAAAAAAAATATGGAGCATATCTTGTGCTAATTCAGTCCCCACTACCTCTCCTTCCCCTCCCCTGCTACCTGCTCCCTTATCTCCACTGAGACACTGAGATCTGCCATTTACCCATAGCTCTTTTTACTTCTTATGAATGAACATGATGGCAACTTTCACTATTATCCTTAGGATAATATATTCTTGACTTATTCCTAAAATGAGCACAACTGATCTTAGGAACCCTCCATGATACCACAGACTAAGGTCTGGCGCTATGGCAGAAAGAAGCCTCAAATTTGTCACCACAAACCCTTTCGATGTTAGACATTCTCAGCCTCATGAATTTGGTAACATCCAATTCATGATGGGCAACTCACTTTATTTGGTATCCTATAGTCAGTTTCTATTAAGGCCTAATCATTAAATAAGGACTACTTCTCAAAAGGAAACTAAGAGATCAGGGCTTTGCTCCAAATCCTAGAGATCTTCAAAGCGATTTTTCCCATCAGAAGTTGAAAATGCTTCATGCCCATACACAGGATAATTAGTGACATACATTTCAAGTCCACTGGATCCAATGAGTCAAAACTAGTGAAGTATATATAGTGCTTGCATATTGTTAATGTCCTGGAGAGTTTTATTTTACCCTGGGGTTCTACTCAAAATTTCTGAATATTCAGTAAACAGATCAGTGCAGCTTGTCCTAATGTGTTTCTGTTTGGACTACTGTTCACAAAAAGATCTTCCACTTTGTTTATAAGAACAATTGTGTCTTTTTGGTTGAAATTATTTACCACTGCACTGTCTAAAAATAAAAGGAACTTCTGCAGGGTGACTTCATCTATTCCTGTGGAGAATACTTGTATTCTGTTTATCCTTCCAGGGTTTTATGTGCACTGTAGGCATATACAATTGTTCTTTCCCTCTTCTTTACCCATAAATAGCATACTGAATTATTACACATACATTTCTGTACCTTTTTTAACAGTCTTTTGCTTAACATTATCTCTTTCAGGAATAGAGAATTTTGTCTTTTGTACATGTCTTAGTGTATACTGATTAATGTATTCCTAAAGCAGTTCCCCAATGATGAATAGCCTCACATATATCATTCCACACACACAAGTATATCTCAAAAAAGTGACTGCTGGATCCAAAGATGTATTTGCAATATCAATAGCTGTCAAGTTATTCTCTATGTGAACTAAGCAATTTATAATTGCATTGGCAATGTATGACAATAAAGATTCACCTAAAATTTATAGAACTTTCAATTTTATCTAAACTTTTATTTATTTTAATGAGATAAAGTATCTCTTTATATGACATCTGACATCAGTCTGGTCAGACTTTTTATGCATTTTTCCATTGAGTTATTGATTTTTTAACTCATCAGTACCTCAAAATTAGAGATTGGGCCTTTGTGAAATAATCTAAGTATTTCTCCAGTTTTCTTTTGATGTAACTTAATAACAACTTATAGTTCTTTCTTGCCATGCAGGGTTTTTTTTT